AATGTAATTATACACACCTGAGTTACACAAGAGCCCAAGAGGTCCGCACAACGTTTACTGGTGAAGAAGGTATAATTACCAGAAAACAATTAGCCCGTTGTAGTGGCAGTTAAGAAGAGAGTTCCTTCAATGCAGCTTCTGGCTTCAAGCAAACAACTGATGAAATGCTTTTGAATGCTGTCGATATTAAAGCAGGAACAAAAGCTGATTTCTTAAATAGTTTTGTATATGTAAAAACTGAAAAACACAATTTTGGGTGCACCTGCCTCTTTGTGAGGTATACAGTGGGTAGAGTTATTAGTTCTACATGACCACGTGGAATTAAGTGGTTTAGAGTAACCTGGTATAAACACAAATCATCTATGAATTTTAATAGGCCCGCCCATGCCTCATAACTATGCATGACTTCATACTTTCATAATTGACAGGAAATATGAACTAGGCCAGGGGTCGCCTATTAGAATGACTTTTCATTTAATTTTTTGACAGCCCAATACACAAATGCAGGGTGGATTCCTTGAGCATATGCATGTAGTGCACAGGAACCTTTCTGGTGAAATCTAGCAGCAATCCCCTGAGGCCAGACCACCTCTCTTATAATTACACAGTACTACACTTCGTACTAGTGCAGTAGATCTCCCTGAGAGTCGCACAAAACGTCTGAACTGTTCAAACGGCAATTCAATTTGTCCATTACAGTATAACATTGCAAATCCATTTCAGTGATTAAAAACTAAAATCACAGAGCCAGAAATGCACACGCCGCACTCAGACACCAGCCAGTGCATTACACACAAAACAGTGCCGTGTTGACAGGTATGTTGTGCACGGGTATATCACTTCTACTCAGTGGAGTCTGCCATGCAGCAAATGTAGTGTTGCCATTTGCACAAGTTCAGCTGTAGGTCAGGATGACCCCTTCCCTCCCCTCGTCTTCAAGACCTACCCTGACCGGGGTTGCTCCGCGGCAGAGAGGTGTTCAAATACAATAGAACAATATGCTGTGGGAGGTGGAGGAATGTGGGCTCTCTAACCCCCCCCCCCTTTTTTGCAAAAGCTAAAACTCATTGTATCCCTAACATGTAAATCTACACCTCTGGGCTATAAAAGTGCTACAAAGAGGGTTCTTGACTGAGTAAATTAACATACACCCCACTCGCAATTAAGCGGACAGACTGACATTGTAGCTCCTACATTGCCGCAACACTGGGGGCTTTGTTGACATGGCGTCTGGACAGAGGAAAAACCAGAGGAAAATATTTTCAACTGAGTCATCGACTGGACATTGATATCTGGAGACTGGAGTCTGTGTACAAAACAAGATGCTTTAAAGATGTGCGAGCAATTCAGCTGTTTCTCTCTCTCATGGGATACAGTTGCACCATTATTAAGATCATCTTCACACCAGAAGGAGCAGAAAGTGTCAACCCCAGTTTGTTATTTCACTGTACACTGTTGACCAATTATAGACTGTACAGCAGACAGTTTTTCTACACTGGCAAGAGAGGAAAATAGGTTTTATATAAATGTGCACATGTATACACAGTTGGACCTAATGTGAAAAATAAACTTGTCTGGTTCTAACAGATGGGGCTGGCTGCTGTTTGTAGCTTGCAAAAAGGAGCTCTTACAATAACAGAGACACAACATCTTCACATCTAGCTCATAACAAAATAATATATGGACCAGAATCAGGAAATGTCTCCTGAAAGAAATTCCATTATAAACAATGCAGCAAGTATTAAACACACACACATTGGTTAACATAGATATACTGAAAGCAAGAATACATTACCATCTGCTGCTTTTAATCCCAGACAGTTACAGTAGTGGCATGTTTTGGTAAAAGGATATCATTAATCATGGGTATAATCAGATGACATCAGGTCATGGCCCACTAAGTGTGTTTTCCTCATTATGGTAATATGGAGGAGAGGAGTGTGTTTCCTCTTTTTTCTTTTTTTTTTTACTTTGACACTTGTTTTCATGACAACCTACTCATGATGGAGGAGGAAGGGAAATATGAAGAGCGTTGACACAACAGCCTTCTCTTTCATAATCTGACAAATGGTGGCTGAAATCCTAAATAAGAGACATTTTAAACTAATTAGGAGATTGAAATGCCATATTTTAGATGCTTATCATGCTACAAATGCATAATAATGAAAGGAATAATTACATTATTAATCATATAAATATTATGTTATAGTTTAATATATGATGTGTGTTTAAATTACTTTAAAGAAAGTGAGTTTGCTGATCTTTGAAATGTTTTTTTTCTGTTGTGTCATCAGATCTTAATTCACGCAACCCTAACTTCACTTTATGAATAGACTAAGGGCAATTCTGTGGCAGTTGAAAATAAACCCTGAGGCTATTTACTGTCTCCTTGATATATGAAGTTTGTGGTTTTGATTGTGTGTGATTATGTTCTGGGAGAATGACCTTTAGTGGCAACCGTATTGTAATATAATGAGGATGTGTCAGTCGGCAGGAGTACAGTGATGAGACGAGGCCAGGCAACCGGCGTTTAGAGCATCGATCCGTCGGACACCATGAGTATAGAGGGGAATCTGAAATATTTCAACGCCTCCTTCTCCCAATATACAGGTGGATATGAGATCTTATCGAGCTGCGTCCAGGCACTTGAGGCAGCCAGAGCCGTCGAGTACGATAAGACACAAGACAGAGGGATATGGACCCATCTGTCTGTGATTAATGGTGAGCAATATATCAGCTATTTTTTCCCCTGAATCATGCACAATAATAGCAATTATATAAAACAAACTATATCTTATGAAAAAATCTTTGGATTGTATCTCACGAAAACAACTTACCCACGTAGATCTAATATAACCACGAATATGACAATGTTGTATCGTACTAATGGTTATTAATGTGGAAAAGATTGTGTAAGAGCGGAGGTGAAAGCATAGGTGGTGCAGATTGATATGGTGATGGATTCTCTTACCTCCACCTTCTCATTAACTCTGGCCTGGGTAATATGACCTGGGAGAGATTTTCTCCTCCTCCTTCAGCCCTAACACTGAGTCTCTAAGCCCTGCACGGTAAGCCCTATCTCATAAAGCACAATTAAGTGGGCCAATCAGACGGGCTTAAAGTCACTCCTCTAGTGCCTTAACTCCATAATTAACCAAAATACATCATCAGCAATGAATCAGCCCCATGGATTTCAATCATAATCATAGTCAATCATAATGTTGTAATTTGCTGTGACTTTTTCCTCAAGGACTACTTGATGTGATTTTGGCTAATAGGATTTAAAATCAATATTTTTTTATCAGTTTTTCAGGGGGGAAAAATCACAGCTATACACAAATAAGAAAATCTGATTTAGAGTTCAATGTGAGTATGTAGTGAATAGTTTATCTCTGGGGTTTGAGCCCTAACTATGGAAGCAGAGCACCAGTGAAACATTAATCACTAAAGCATTATGGCTCATATCCTTGGACAGCACATTAATTCAGGTGGCTATTAGTCTGCCTTGCAGCCAACCTTCGAAAAAAGGTCCACATTGAAATTCAGTTGACAGTGTATAGTGTGCAGAAAGCTAACTATGCTGTTACTGCATCCCAACAATATGAAAAACAAATTGCAGATGTGCATAATACCAATATGTAGGTATATTTAGTGGAGCGGGGGCTGCAACAAAATGTGAACAGTGGACTTCAGGGGGAAGTAGGCGTAATAGCTCTGGACTGGCACAACAGTCTCTCCTGTATTCCTTGTCAATAGAGACAGACGCTCTACCTGTAGATAGAAAATAAAAAAAAAGGCTGAAGAAACACCAATTACAAAAGGCTCTCTCTCTTGCACTCCCTCAGAAAAGCAAGGCTCCGCTAAAGGTCAGCCTGAAATTTGAATGACAGGGCCAAAGTCTTTTACTCATAATTTTTGTGTTTGCAATAGATTTCGGAGCAATTCACAGCCTTAAAGGCCTTAAGTGGAACAGCAATTAATTGTAATGAATAATCTGACAAATCTGGTTGACATATGGCCGCTAATACTCCTCCTTTCTGGAGGGAGCAGTGGAGGGATTAGATTACCTCAAATGAAATCTGGGAGCGCGGTGCCATCTGCATGTACAGGGACAGGCAGCGCACGTGAGACAGGACGTGGGCGGAGCCGGGGTCTGCGCCCTGCTGCTCCAGTTCCCTCAACCTCACCAGCAACTGATCTGGGAATAGGGCCTGCTTTTTTTTTTATCATCTTATTGAACCAGCTGCCTCTCATGAAGTAAAACGCAATAATGCTGTGCCGTTGCCAAAATCGAACACACCGTGAAAAGTAAACAAACATGACAGAAGTGATAAGTGTTGTGCAAACATATAAACAACACCACCGCGTCGAGCCATCTGAGCGCAGTGAAGCCATAACTTTATTAAAAGCATTTCGCAGCATGATGAATTACCGTGCCACACACAGAGCTGCTCATTTGTAGAGCTTCACATTAGGCATCAAAGTATCTTGTAACTTGTAGCTTTAAGACATGAAAGATGTATGTAATGAGAGGACGACTAAACAGTGATAGGAAAGCATGAAAAGCACATAGAACAGGCAGAGATAGAAGTATTATTCAGATCAATTACTGCAGTAAAAGAAGCAATAACACAGTAGAATAATGCTCCATTATAGGTAAAAGTGGTACATTGAAGAAGTATTATTGACAAAATATACATATATACAATATCCAAAGTAAATGTAGTTGTTCTTATGGACTGTTCCCTCAGCGTTTTATTGTCATATTATGTGATTATTATTATTATTAATGCATAACCAGACTGAAAACTCATCTCTTTCGACTCCACTTCGAGCGATAGAATTACTAACAAAGAATTGCTAACAAAGCACTTATCTACTAACAAAGGAACTGGCTTATCTAAAGCCAGTTGAGTAGCACTTTAAATGTTTTGGCTCTATGAAAACATGATGTACTTATATGATTCTGTTTTCTTCAAGTTTGTATCTTCCTGGTCGAATGCACTTATTATAAGTCGCTTTGGATAAAAGCGTCAGCTAAATGAAATGCAATGTGATGTAATGTAATAACCATGTCAGCAGTACTGGAGCCAACTTTAATTACCTTGGGGAAGTTGAATTCATAAGTGCTGTTTACATGTTGTGTAAGGAAAATCTTAAAGGTAACTAATAATGTAAAAGTCTGATATTGTCCCTCTGAAATGCAGTTGAGAAAATAATTATAAAGTAACAGAAAATGGAAGTACCTCAAAATTGTCTTTAACTATCAATAGAGCATGAATACAGTTTCAGGGGCATTCATATGTCTAAAGGGGTTTCAAATAGAGCCAATAAAATAAGAATAGCCTGGTCCTCAGCTCTGTGAAACAATGTAATAGTGGGAGTGTGCTGCTGTATCAACAGATCTGATAGGTGTAATGACGTCATAATGTAAACTCCTGCTAGGAGCCTGATAAAGAGGCCGCGTTCTGCAGGATGTCTATTAACAGCCAGCTGACATAAGCAACTGGATCAGCACTTTCACTTAAAGAGGGGAAATCCTGTTCTCATAATATACACTCAACATTTCTCAGCCTTGTACGTAACATAGAGGCCAGACTCTGAATACACAGTTCCCAGCAACATCATTATTTGATCAATGCTTTTTTACAACTCCCAAGGAGCTTAAAGGAGTTCAACACTTAATACAAAAATAACAATTCACCGGTTTAACTTCCTGAAGTTTCAGCTGGTTACCTGGCAACTGGTCCTTTAGTAATATTTTGGCACAAAACTCTCCGTAAAACAAGGATTGTGGTTTCTTGTACATCAAATGTGTTAATTTGTTTTCTAACTTTATGGAGAGCTGTTTTCAGTGCTTTTTTCAGTGTTAATGCTAAGTTAGCTAACTGCTGGATTAAGCTTCATATTTGACGCACACAAATGAGAATAGTACCTTAAAATGTTATCGCAACAAGAAAGCATGTTTCCCATATTGTCAAAATATCCCCAAATAAGGGTTTGAATCCAACTCTTAGGTTTTGTGATGATTTATCCAGTGAGCTAAAACAGATTGACTTCAAATATTCTTTTAAGATCACAGACAATTGTTGTTAAGATGTTAACTCTGGTCTGAAAAAAAAGCCAAATTAAGTCAATACATGCTGTACAGTTGTAGGAGAGCAGTGCGTTTGAAGTAACTCAGTGCTAGACAGTGGTGAGCGGAGGTGGAGATCTGAGACTGTGCATCTGCTCAAACCTGCCTAACCAGCACTAATGTGACAAAACTCACCTAGAAAACACAGGCTAATCACCTCATCCAAAGGCAGCGGGTGTCACCTTGCATATCAGTCACCGCTGGCTGCTTTATGATCATCACTTTAACCCCAATGTAACTCCAAAACAGAACACTGGATTGGCTCCGTTTACGCCACCTGACAGAGGGGGAAAAACAACAATGCATAATCATTCTTTTCTTCTTAAGAAATTCATTCTGAGCGGATAGTTCAGGAGCCAGGTCTCTTATTTAATTGCAGGAATTGAATAAAGAGCGTTTTCCATGAGGTGCTGCTGTGTGGCTAGCATAATTGCCAGGGAGCAGGTCTTAATTTAAACCGGGGGGTAATTATCATGCAGAGCATATCCACCCAGAATGTTTGCATAACTATCACAAGCGTTTTCATAAATGATGCTTTAATTAGTCTTAATTAGAATTTGTTTAAGTCAGCAGGGAATGCAGGGCCCGTGAAATGATGTATGTAATAAGCATCAGGGCCCGCTCTGTTTTTTTCCTTACTTGGGGAATAGAGCTGACAAAATCACATCACATTAAATTGATTCAGTCAGAATTAAAATTCTTATGGTATTAATTAAATGGGGGAAGATCTCATTAGCAGGCTGTGTGGTGAGGGAGAGACCCTCTCTGCCAGCAGATGTGACGGTGTCAGAGCTGCTGTACATGCTCGCCATTAGGGCCCCCAGACAAGCAGAAAAGTGAGGGAGGAGAGAGGAGGGAAGGAAGAAGGTGAGGGAGGGGAGAGGAGAGAAGCAGAGACGAGCTGAGAATGACAGAGGAGGAAGGAATGAAAAGGAAGAGATGGATAAAGGGAGAGAAAAGAGAAAGAAGTGTGAAATAACAAGAGAGAGGCAGCGCGTGTGTGCGGCTGTGGGGGGAGAGCGAGGTGGCAGCATATTAATGGGCTGTAGGCTCCTCCATCTATAGCTTTATTTAGCTTCATTGGGTCTATTTGGCTGGAGGAATTCAATAAGAGGAGAGCTAATGACTTGACCAGATACCCTGTTATCAGCACTGATGAGACACCCTCTCTGCTTGACTCTTTATACAGCTACAGTAGTCTAATAGGCCTCTGGAAGATTGCTGCCCAGAGTACAGACCTCCTCTCTGGAAATAAAGAACATGATTGTGCCTCGGGGAGCTTTGCCTCGCCGGTACAGGGCTCACCTGATCCTCTTGTTAGGGAGCTAATAGCTATTGACACACTTCTTAAGGAACTGAACTGCAGAATAACAATCCAATTCTGAGGTGTGACTGTACAGACGATTTCCTCTTTGATCCTATTGTGTTTTCTAACTTGGCTTTTCATCCCTCAGGTAGCGCGTGGTATCATCAGGTCAGCAGATAGAGGGGATGTTGAGCAAAAGACTTATTGTTGGACCCCCGCAGCAGCTGTCAGTTTGAGTAAACTGCGACCTTGAGCAGACAGATGAATATGGTATGAAAAGAAAAAAACAACTAGTGATCATACACACTCAAAGCAAATCACTATTTCCTCGGTGGGTAACCATCTGGGATGTTACCGTTCAGCGTGAGTCGTAGGGATGACGACTCAATTCACTGAAGAAAAACATTGAAGTTCAAAAATTGGACTAGGTGATTAGCCTAACCCACAATTTAATCCAGGTCCGAGGAAGAATATTGTCCAGGAAAAGAAATGTGTACTCGGATATTGCACTGGCTTTACAAAATGTCAACTTGTATCCACCTCACTATTATGGGATGGGATGAAAAGGCTTTTGTGTCTTATTTTAGTTTTTTCCCTCTTTTTTTGTTTAATCAGGCGTTGATTGCATTAGAAGCTAAAAGAGGCTAGTTTTTTTATTAAGGCATTTTTGACAAGGAAGACATGATTTGTTCAGTGCAAACTCTGTCAATATGTGATTTTAAAGTGTAAATTGTTGACTGGATAGCAACGTTTAAGCGCCTAGATGACTTATCGTGCACATCCCTATTGAGTAGCGAATATATCCTACAGTATAGGATGCGTGTAAATGTGCGTCAGAATACGCCTCATGTGTCTCTCCGATTAAATAATACAAATAATGCAGCACTGTGGACTTTTTATTGACAATAAAGTCAACATTTCTAAAAGAAATCTCTCAATATCCAAAACAGCTCTGTAAAACACCTTAGGCCTACAGTATATGAGGCAGGCATTGTAAACACTGCCCTGTATAGAATCCAATGAAAATGATAATGGAGGAAACAATGGCCTCAGGCAATGTAGCAGCAACCCAGCACCGCCAATGTTACAAGGCATCACTTTCCCTTTATTAGGAGTAAGCATGACTGTTAGTAGGCCCTGCATAAATATTTTGGGTAAATACACACTATATCATTTTTCTTCACACTTGAATTGCATTATGATTTCCATGCAGACTCAGGTGAACCGGGGTCAGGAGACTAAATTAAGTGGGTCCTGGAAGCAGCTGCAACGGTTTCTCTCTTTAACCATGCTTGGCTGGTTAAGCTATCAAAAGCCGCTTGTACATGCATCATAAAAAACACTGTGTGTGTGTTTAAAATTGTATTAAAATGCTGTTGACCCTTAAAATTAGAAAGGGAAACGTGCAACTCTTTGCATGGCAATTATTTCATGTCCATCGAGAACACAGTAGAGTGAGAAAGTATGACTGAGGCCCCTTCAAAATTTATTGACACGCAGGCAGAGAAGTGAGGTGGTTCATTTATGACAATGGGGCGTGATGACATCACACCATAAAAGCCCTCCGCAGGGTCAGATGGCATACGCCGAACGGGCTTGAGTCTTTGTGTTTGCTATGCATGAATATATTAGATGTAGAGTGGGTCAGTGGTTGACATTGCTTTCCTGTGATGTATTGTGACATCCGCTGCTATGCTGTTTTTTTGAATGCCGAGGCTGAACTACTGTTGTTTAGAATTAAACAAGTCGATACAAAAGATCCTGATCAAGCATGTAGTAAGGAGAAATAACACGAAAGCTCCTTTTAACAAGGAGCTGATTTATGAATTAAACTACTCATTTACATGACAATCCATGTGGATAAACATTGGCTATTTGATTAAGAAACATCTGTAAAGCTGGTTCTTTAAGGATCATAAGAAGCCTCATAGGTCAATAGGGCAATATAGAGATGTTGTGGTACTGTTTCTTTCAGTTGTAGAGGAAATGTATCTGTAATGTCTTTGCTTGCATCGCACCATTGTGAGTTATATTGAAAATGAATGACTTCATTCGTTAAACATCTGGTTTCTCAATTGAGTTTCCAGTATAAGTACAAGATGGACCTTTGTGTATACCCTTGGGGAAATGCAGGAGTTAAAGGAGCAACAGAGTGAGTGTGAAAAACAGGACAGTACAGATCACAAGGTAAAAAGAAATAAGGCAAAAATTCAAACTTAAATGATATTATTATATTCAACTGCATTTCCCACCTCAAGGTCGTATTGCAGTGTCCGAAAAGCAGCCCCTTGTTTATTTTTGATGTATTCTAATAAGCCTAATAGCACAATCGTTTATTTTTGTCCATTTTAGAGTAACATAGCGCAATGTGTGTTAATTCTGTTCTAAGTATGTCCAGACTCAACGCTGAAACTGTAAGCGCAGGCTGATATGATAATTTAGCTTACTTATAATAATTAGCTGTTGTATATTCATTAGCCTTTTAATTGGTTAACTCTGGGGACCACCAGCAATTCCAGTCAGTCAAATACACTAATGACACACACACACACACACACGCATACAGACACACACATGCATACACACAACATTCTCTTCAAGGAAAGACCTGGCAGAAGTAAGCTCCCCCTGAACTTTTGTAGAGCACTCTCCCTCCAATCACTCAAGCTTTCAATACAACTGTCACTTTTGTCCGGAAAAGCAAGCGTTAGCACAGAATTTGCAGCTTTGTCCTTAGTGAGAGGAAGTACCTGTGACATCTGCACTGACATGCTGGAGATAATCCTCCATGTGATTGTCGCACAAATTGGGGGTCAGCGTGCCGCAGACAGGGGAACGTGGCAAGGGACACGGAGGAAATGTTCAATCACGGGCCAGCCCATTCGGGAGCCTCCCTTTTCAGCCTCTCCAGCCTATGGTTCATCTCTCTGTCGCGCTCTCGCTCTCTCTTTCTCTGCCCACAGCTGCCGGGCTTCCACTGGGAGGGAGCTGTATTATGGCTGGGTTAATTTACTGATTAATATCCAGCCACTACATCCAGCTTTCCCCAGATGGCCAATTAAAAACTACAACTGGCAGCGTGCATAGGCCTGGCAGCAGGTTGCCGTCGGGCCCAGGGCTGGAGGCTGTGACAGAAGGTGTGGGTCCTGTTTGGGCCCGACTAAGAGCCACGGACTATCTTACTCTGTGACTCTCCACACCAGAAGGACAAACTTAAGCCATGATAGTGAGCAGAACAGAGGGTACGCCTGCCTTTAAACTACAGACACTGAGGGAAGTCTGTATGAACAGAAAGTTATAGGTACATGGAGATTGAGTATGTCATTATTGTGCAGGACAATCACTCACTTTTACAATTTTAAATGTAGGTTTTTATGTATGGTTGGTAGAAAAGCTAATTATCTCTCATTCATATTAAGTGGAACTTCTATTGGTAGGACATGTGTAGGTATTGCTTAAACCAAAAAAACATTTTAAGGACTACTACAGTAAAAAGTGCAAATGATTACCCATTACACATATTTACCAGATAATTGTTCAGACATTTTTTTTTTTTTTTAAAAGGGAATTAAAATAAATAACAGTCCACTTTGATCTTTACGTGTTATATGAAACTGTACAATTTGACTTGCATACATATAGATGCAGTTAACAATAAGGATTCACTTTGTGTGACTCACTTATATCACTTACTTATGCAATACAATTACCTTGTTACATAAATACTATATTTTTTATTGTAACATTGTACCCAGTTCAGGTAATTACTTTTTCTATCCTTAATGTATGCATAATATAAAAGTAAATGTAAATGTTTGGTACTTAACGCTATAGCATACAACGTTAATGAATAAAGTAAAAAGACCATTTCTTTATAATAATACTGATACAATTAATTAGTTTATTACTAAAATATCACATGATTTCCCTTTATATTTAGTTATAATAAACTCCACTGGCTGCCAATACAT